TGAGCTTCATGATGAGCTTCATGTTGAGCTTCATGATGAGCTTCATGATGAGCGTCATGATGAGCGTCATGATGAGCGTCATGAGCTTGTGATAAATTGAAGAATCTTTTACAGTAGTGGGTGGATCCTTTTGTCCAGTTGAGGTTAGGGGACACCCGAGGATGAACTTGATTCAATATATTCAAGGGATCGTGGATGTTTTGGGCCCTATTGCCCATGTTTGGATCGTCTCCTGAGGGGCTGTCCATCACCCCTCCGTTTCACTCAAAGGGTCGACAACATCCGCGCCTGTACATCCCTTACATCATCCCTAACAACCCACCTCATAGAAGCCATAGAGCCCAGCAGTGCACATGGTGCCCTGAGCTGTTGACACAGGAGGACACAGGAGGACAGTGAGCCCTTTTCCGAACCAACTGCCAGAGCTGTTTAGGGCGTAGACTGCGATGCCTCACGGTTTTTCTGGACTTCGTCCAACACCAGCCATGGTCTCTCTTGAGTTCTCCCCTAAGCGACCATGGTTCCACCTCTGTTTTCCCAGAACACTCCAAAAGTCACTTTGCGTCAGGTAACGAGTGGGGACAGGTCTTCATTTTGGACGCCTTGGCCACCTACGAGCCCAGCGGCGCCAACGACGCGGAGTCCATCACCGAACGGGTCACTGCCCGGCTGAGTCACGCCAATCCTGCGGTGGTGTTGACCGCCATCAAGGTGATCCTGACGCCTGGTGGGCGTTCCCACGACAAAACCGGACCGGGGAGGAGAGGAGAGGAGAGGAAGAACATAGCTGGGATGACGTTGGTGGTGAAAGATCGGTCAACAATGGAGATCGCAAAAGAGTCCCACGATCGCCTAATGTCCACGTTTGCAAGCTGCAAAAGGGGGTGGTCATCTCATGTCATCTCTTTCTAGCCATCTTCATTGCAGGAGCTCGATGGATGTGTGAAAATTACTGGAACCAAGGTTCATGGCCTGAGTTGTGTCACGCCCATACGTCAGACACACACACTTCGGGCCATGCTGCAAAGGGGTGATCCGTTTGCCTCAGACCGGCGAAGCCAAGGAAGTGTATGGAACACACGGAACTTTGGTGTGAATAAAGTGCCAAAGGGAGGAATTTGTTGGGCCATGGCAAAAACAGCTCTTTTTGTGCCACCACCACAAGCAACTGATTTTAAGGGGACAATATTCTGATGTAATGTGTATCCAAATCCATCCAATGTATAAATAAAACAGTTCTTGGACTCATCCCGATTTCAAGACAACTTCACTTGGGATGTGAACCAATGATGGGAGGTGATTATCTCATTATCTCCGAAAAGAGCAAGCAGTGCTGTTCACCTTTGAATAGGAATCAACATGCACAACTCCCAAATGGCTTCACGTGACAAGCAGCCCTTCCTCCCCAGAAGTTAGATGCCGCGAACCCAGACAAGCAGGGTGAGATGACCTGTGGCCGCTGTCCTCCCCTGAGTGGTTGGGTTTTCTTGATGTTTGGTGCCCATAGTCATAGACCTGGGTCGGAGCTGCGCTAGACAGCTGCGTTCCAAATGAGATTCACCCACTTGGGATTGGGATTTATAGATCGAACAGGGCCCTCGACGAGTACGTAGTCAAACCATGCGAAGCCTGCTTTTCGAAATGTTCAATATGTGCGAATACACATGGCAGACATGCAACAAGAATTCACTACTGTATCCATCCATACTTCTACAACGACTAGACCGATAAATAATGATAAATTATACTGCTCTCTTCAAATCACCCAACACGGTCCTGTGCGATGCCCCATCGCGTTTCATTCTCTCGCACTCTTTTGCTTCTCCTCTCCTCTCGCCATCCGGGCATTTTTCGGCTCACCTTGTGTCATGACAGGGCAATGAACAGCTAAGATGGAAATGTGACATTTCAAATCACCTTTCGCGACCGACTCGAACTTGAATCTCATTTACAAAATGTAATGTGTCATGTCTTTGCAAGCTCGCTCCCTTATAAGTAGGCACCCGCACCGAACACTGGTGGCCGCGACCTCAGGAAAATCCGGAGGTTCTGCGGATGCTGGCGAAGAAGCTGAACCCACCCTTGGTGACCCTGCTGAGTAGCGAACCGGAGGTGCGGATCGGATTCTCGTTTTACAGCCGATTCTGGGTTCACCGCGACCATATAGGTTGACCATGTCTACTAGTCGATTCTGTTCATTTTCTGTGCGAAAAACCAGGGTTCCCGCATTTTGACCCACCACCACCCAGGCGGATCAGAGCCTGGTCACGTTGTTTGGTGTTTGTTGGAGGGAGATTTGTTTCGTCTGTTTCATGGAGGTTCAATATGTGGCCCTGCGGAACATCCGCCTCATCGTGCAGAAGCGGCCCGGAAGCTTTGTCGCAGCACGTGGAGCCGAGCCGGTAGGCTCACGGTGGGGCGCACGTCCTTGTCCGTTCAAAAACAGGCCTCATAGCGTTGATAGGCCGCCTAGGCCTGAGCTGTTGTCAAATGTGTTTGTCAGCTACAGTACTTTGTGAAAGGAAATGGCATTCCAATGCACTCCATAATCATTTTGAAGGCAAGATTGAAGCCCACTGGCCTGTCCTTCATTGATGCCATTTACCAGCATGGATGATGAAGATCATCGTGGATGTGGATACGCAGATGCTAGAGTGCCCAACTACTGTTGCTCAAACACCTAAAGCTACAAAGCTCGGGGGAATTGGCGGACCATTTACTTGCTCCTACTGGGAAAGAATCTTATTCTCTTCGAGGCCCTGAAGTCAGAAAAGGAAAGAAGGCAACATCCCGCCAGAAAAATGAGGAATCTTGGCCTCCGATGTGAAGATGTTCTTCTGCAAGTACAACGATCCCATTTATGTGCAACTTGGACTTGGTTCAAGCCCAAGCCTCCGCAGTGCATGAGGTGAACTGTGGCCAGTCACCCATTTGGTCAAATGTGGGTGGCGAGCCTGTGGTTTGTTGGAAGCCCAGATAACCACGGGTGAAGTCAAGTGTGAATATTGCCTGGTAAAGTGTGTAGAGGATTTAACTCGTTTTCGATGGCATGATTCGGGCTGGTGTCCATGGTGTCCATTTTTCTTTCATGGTGACAACAGGGCCATGTTTGAGAAGACTGAAGACCAACAAAAACTATTCGACATCCTCGTTTACACAGTTTACAATGTTTACACATCTACATGAGGTGATTCCGGCACAAAGCTCCGGCCAGGACGCTACTAGGAGCAAAGGGCATCGCTAGTAGGAGCAAGAACGCTACTAGGAGATACTAGGAGCTTTTTCGGCCTCCCTGGAGAGATCGGCTTTTCTTTGAATCTCCGAACCCGGACCATCCGGCGTGGCCGAACTCAGGATCCGGACCAGATGCGTTCCCACAAAATAGAGACATGCGTAGGCATGCTTTTTTCGTTGCCTTTTTTTCAGTTTTTCCTGGTTTCTCTCAATTCCTGGTGGCTAGAAGTTCTTTTTTTGAGAGTATTTCGTGCCTGGCCGAAGAGGGGAGACAATTCTTACACGTTTCGAAGACTTACTTGGCCTTTCAGGACCAGTCATTCCCCCGGAATGCCAGGTATCACAGGATCACAGCTCCATGTATTGAGCAACGCAGTGCTAAACAGCGTCCTTCCTTTGTGGGAATAGACCACTGGGGCCAGGGTTGGGTTTTTCTTATACTGCAGGACAAGGACAAGGCGTGCCACCAAATTATCCTGCAGAAATTCCCGGTTTAGTCGTCTTGACCCGAAAGTCTCATGAACTCTCAGGAAGCTGGAGAAGGTAGACATCATGTGCATGCTGGTGAGCGATCGGAATTTCGACCAGGTCCTGTTGGAGCTGAAAGAGTGTCCCGGCGAGACTTTATTTCCGCTGCTGGCGCTTGTGTGGGCGCTTGTGTGTGTGTGTGTGTCCCACCCTGGACAAAGGGTTTTTCCACCACCTTCACTCCACAAGCAGGGGGCCACAGCTCCTTTCATCAGTCTGTGGCCAACGAAGCTACTGATGATTGGAGAGGATATGAACCTGGGACGCCAGGTTCACGTACCTGCTTTCAACACATTGACTCCAATGGTCCACCCTGCTGCTGTTTCGTTGTTTCCATGGTTTTTCTCATGATAGACCCCAAAACCTTCCCCCACCGCAGATGTGCAGCCGCGCTGATCGCTCGACACCGCTGTTCTTGTGAACTGCAGATGTGCGAAAACCATTTGTTCAAACATCTACAATTGCGCTGACTTTCCACCTTACCGTTGAGCCATTCCTTTCCTCGGGAGATCGCATTAACTGAAACTCCAAGTTCGAAGTGTGTCCTGCTCAGCCGTCCCACTCGGGTGCTGAGTGTGAACCCCGTCACAGGGGCGCTGTTTTTGCATGGGAAAGCAACCACCCCAACGCTCCACCGATCACTGGAACATCACAGGAAAGCATCGACCCCACATTGAATCAACTGCCACATCGGCCGCCGGGCCCAAAAACGGTTTTTGACAAATCCCTCAGACTCAGAATCTCTGAATTCCGATTTCATATGCACGTTTACGTTCTCGTTACGCTGCGGCCGCGACTCTCTCATCAACAGCACTCAAAGAAGGGCATCATTGCAACTCTTCAGCTTAATTCGAGATGCATGAACACACACTTACCAACAAGCTAACGCTTAGCACTACCTTACAACTTTCTCACCACCGCCACCAGCGCTGACACCTTCAACAACAACAAGACAACACCACTCGGCATTTCTTCGCTGCCTTTTGCTGCCGCGCCGCGCCGAGCCATAGCTACGACCACGACATGCATTTTCCGTGGCCCTATGCTCACACCACGCCACCACCACTACCTACCGCCCAACCTCAACCCACATGGCCGCTGCCGCAGCCATCAACTGCACCCACCTTTCCCACGACTCAGCCATCGGCATACCCTCACCCACAACCATTTCAACCACAACCAGTTTTATCCTCCCCTACTGCTACCGCACTGACCTACGGCACACCATCCACTTGGACTTTTGTCCCCCCATCTCACGTGCCACTGCAACCCACACATCCAGCTCCAGTGTTTCCGACAGCAGCACCTCCCCCGTCCTACCTGGTACCACCGCATCATCCCACAACACCAGCCGAACCTCCTCCCCCCACTACACTGACACATCCCTCTCTAACACAACAACAGACTGCGATTGCCAATCATCCATCCACTGATCCCCAATGTGCCATCCCCCAGGGCGTTTGGCAACCCTACTCAGCCTTTCCACCCGTCACACAACATCCACTCCAACCAGGACCCCCACCACCACCTCCACAGATCACCACTGCCTCAACGCCAACCCAACCTCCATTTCAACAGCAGCTACCATCGGATCCAGCACCACCGATCCAACCCATCCCCACGACTGCCCAGGACATTCCACTACCAGTCCAAAACACACCAGCCACCGTATCACAACATTCAGCATCCCCCTCGCTGGTCCCTGCCACACCAGCACCGGGACCTTCAATCCCAGCATCAGACAAACCTGACACCACTGCCTCACCAGCACCACAACCACCTTCCCCACAACCACCACACAGCAGTCGCCGCCACCATCACAAGAGCCGACGCAAGTCCGACCGTCACCACAGAGGACGCCACCGCCACCGCCGCCGACATCGCCATCACCACCATTCCAAACACCACAGCAAAACCAGGCGACGACGGTCGCCTTCAACATCCACTTACACATCCAGCCTTACGCCATCCCGCAGCCGCTCGCCGCCACAACCCATTGATCTACGCCCCAACACTGAACACTCCAACCCAGACCCCTCTCAATTTCCCACCACAGCCGTCCTCCGTCGCCCAACTAACCGTTGGCGACCTCCACCCAACTTTCACACCTTTACACCTGCAGACCAAATCCTGGAATGGCTCGAATTCCACGCCACCCAACTCGACAATCCCAACAGACCACAACACCAGTACATTGCCAATGTCCTCACAGACTGCAACATCTCCTACAAGGAGATCAACGATTTCCGCCAATACACCCACGCAAAGTGGAACGACGCAACACACCAATACGACCAATTCCAGTACTTTGCCATTTCACTTCCCTTCCTCAACACCAAAGCCGCCACGCCCGAGCCACCTGCGGTTTCCCGTGCCACATCAACCCACCGAGAAGTTGCCCACATCAACGCAGGCCACACAGGCCCCATCGGCAACATTTCCAACATACTACGCTAAGGCCGTTTTCTACCCAGCACACTCCACTTTGCCAACTACCCTGGATTTTTTGCCCAGGGCGTTCGCATCACCCACAACCAACCCCATGACCACAACGAACTTGCCCGCATCATCCACAACACCTGGCAACTCCACAAGAACTCCCATTCCCTTATCATCACACTCCTTGCTTGGGGTGCCGCAACAAAGTACACCTCTGGAGGTGAGGAACACGCCATGAACCTCCTTAACGACCACCATGGTGCGGTCTTTCATCAGAAAGGCCGCTGCTGGGTGATCCACCCCGACCACGCCATCGTCAAAGGACTGGCCTGGTCTACCAACTCCACTCCACCGGACCCATAACACCACTGCCACACATCCATACAACACTACCACCTCCACATCCACTTTCAGTCTCACACCACCACCCAACCTTTGCTGTAGCAGCAAAAGAGCCTCTTGCAGCAACCACGGGCTTTTTGAACCCTTCATTCTTTTTGCTCCGCGGGTTTTGCTGAGAATCTTTTGAACTGTTTCGGTTGTTTTGCAGGATTATTTCACATGTCAGTTTCTGCATAGTGGAGAGTGAATTTTAAGCCTTGTACTCGATTGTCCACTCTGCATTGTGTATTCATCCTTTTGCCTGTCGGAATTTGCTGCTCGCTTAATTCATATGCATGGCCTCGGAATGATGTGTTTCCTCAGACTCGCCGCTGTCCAGCTGCTTTGGCGCGCTGCCGCAGCAACCTGTGACGATTCTTGACTACTGCACACCCCTACATCTCAGCCACATGAGCAGCAAGCTGACGCCTTTACAAAACGACACCACAACTCTCCTACACAAAACCGCAGTGGCACTTTCCCAGGTGCATAACCTGCTCCGACAAGCAACAGATATTGTAGCACACCTCCACACGGTTTTCCTCCATCACAACCATCAAGCAGACCCCACTTTCCGCCAACACTTTCAGCCACTTCCAACTCCACCCAACCACCCCATACGTTTACCATCCACCACCTCATCCTGCGACTCAGCACCATCCAGACCACCTATCCGCTCACCAGCACCACCCTTACAGGATTCAGACGACACTCCAACAACACCCCCTGATCCACAACCCACCACAACACGCAAGCGAAAGCAACCGCCCCTACCACCACTGAACCACAACGCAGATTGGGACGCTTGGGACGGCGACGCTGATTGTCGCCTGATCGAACTTAAAGAAAACCCAAAACTTCGTCCCAACTGGGCTACTGTGGCCCGCCGAGTTGGTTTCTCCGTTGCACAATGCCAAACCCGATGGCAAGAACTCAAAGACATGCAACGACAGCAAGACCAGCAACCTTTCTCCACATTACCACCACCTGCACCACCACGGCAAGCACCTTCCCCCTCACCAACACCTACATCACCAGCAGTTTCCCCAGCACCACACTCACAACCGGACTTCTCCCCTTCCCCCACCACAACACCACCGACTTCACAATACCCAACGACTCCAGCTGCTGCGCCGCTGCCGCCGGCTGCTGAGCGACCGCTTAGTGAGGACAGTCATCCGGAGAAATCTCCACTCTCGCCAGTTGGCAGCTATTTCATTTGATCCGTTTCACCCACTTTCCGTATGGCGCGCCGCACGACAAATTTGCTGACATGCATTGAATTCTATTCACACCCAATTTATGTTCACCCAGTTGCCCACCTTTGATATGGACAAGGACAATGTTTCACACAAGACAATGTCCACCCAGTTGTTCCTCTTGCCTGCCACTTTCTGTCCGCAGCCATTTGACCGAACAGTTTCTTCATAAACGTGCGCCCTCCCTACGACATGATGCCTGCCGATGATCTACGAACTCCACAACCTCCTCACTCAGCAACCACCGCAATTTCCCCTGGCCCACCCAATTCGCACCACAGCTACTTTTTACCGAGCAATCCCATGCCATACTTGGCTCCATCAGTGACGCACCAACCTGAACTACTCCTGCTCCACTGGATGATCACTACCATCTCCACACTGGTCGAAGATCTCCAACATCACCCCATTGTGCGAGATCCCATTCCTCCAATGTCTACTTTCACCAATACACCAGCTTACAGACTTTTCCTGCAGACACGCAACACATTACGACATTTGATCAATACCACCCACGACGCCCGCCGTGGACTCGCCAGGCTGCAATTCCTTCCTGGCTCACCAGGCTCCCCTGGTCACTACCGCATTGATCCCACCATCGACATCCCTCCACAACAAACCAACCTCCTCTCCGGAACCATTACACAACACAACCCAGCCACCCCATCACCCACCACCACGCCGCCACTCCTCCACCGGCTCCGTGACAGAGACAGGTCTCGTTCTCGAGACCGCCTTCCTCTCACCACACTCTCGCAACCAAACCACACAACCTCAGGGCACCAGATCATCCCGCACCGCCCTCCCGCAGCTCCTGGCCATCGCGGACACCTGCATCAAGCACTTTGGACAGCCTCCACCTCCAGCTTCACCTCCACGGGAGCTAGCCACCTGCTCGCCGACACACAGTTGTCTTCCCCTGACGCACAGGATCACGCTTGATCTCACACATCACGCTCTGATCCGACAACGGAAAAACTTGTCCTCTTTGCATTTTTCTT